TTAAAGAAACTCACAATGGTCATGGTGGTTGGGGTAATCCGAGGCACTTAAAGTGTCCAATAATGAAATATTATGGCAGCAAACAATTTATGTCTGTTTTGCTGTCTGTTCTGTATGGCACACTCAGAAACAATGAGTGCCCTGAATGTGTTATTTGATTTGGTCCTAAACGTGAAACCTGTATAGAATCCCAAAACTCTCCTCTTATTCAACAGATGGATGGAGTGTGTTAAAGCATACTTCAGTTTTAAGGGTGAAGGCATGGATGGTTCCAAACTAACACAGGGAAAGCGTTCATCCTGACTGACAACACATCTGGTGCACACAAAGAGTGCTATGTACTATGCTGGAAAAAGAATTCTCCAGGTCAGCTTTGTTTTTAGTTTCCTATTTTAGCCTAACATAATTCACTTTGAATTCATGACACTTTAACATTTAGTAAATAACCCTCAGTGTCTTGGAAACTGTGATCTACTGCAAACACAAAAGTGTTTTTTTAGACTTATTATAAAGTGATTTACACACTTTTAAATATAGATATACCTTTGCTTCACGTTACTTCTGTCCTAATACAAAACAGTTCTTCCGAAACCTGGGCTGCATAAAACTTAATTCAGTACTAACCACAGAATAATTTTCAATATAAGTGGAAAACGCCACAGGCAATTCGCTCATATCCTAAAGGCAGCAGGAGTTTATATTTTATTTTTTTGTAATAATTTTTACCGAGTATTGTGAGCTGTGTCGTGGTTGAAAATTGCATCTTTGCTGTTTCTTGGTAATGTAGTTATGAGTATCAGTGGAAAGATGTTACTTTTAGTATAGACACATTCGCAAGAGGAAAAAAAAATCTATTTTGAGCTACAAATAGCCTCAAATTGTGCGGTTTAACTTCCTATTTCATAGAAGCTTAGATTGGTATATGATTGCAGTTTGTTGGATTTTTAGGGTATTACTATGGAACAAAATTATAATTTAAAGTATCATAGCCACTGTAGCCCGGATTATGATGTCAGGCCAATCTTGGGGCTGTTCTTTGGTAAGGTGGCAAAGCATTTTACAATGATTTGCCACTTACCTGAGTCCAACTGGCTGATGAGGCTCACAGAATGACAGCTTAGCTGCATCCTGCTTATGCCAGACTGCAGCAGAGTGCTTGACAAAGGCCCTGGTGTGGGCCGAAACATTGCTTTTTATCTGCTTCAATAAATCTGCTCACTGGATTTACCTTGAGTGGCTGGACCATCATTACTTTACTGAAGAAGCTGGATGCTCAACACTGTCAGCCAATAAATAAACTCTTGTTCAGGGCTGGCCAATAGAAGCTACTGGAGGTATAGTTACACAAACGCAGACAGATGGACAGACAGAAGCTGGGCAAACAGATAGATAGGCAAATAGCTGATTTGGAAATAGAAATCTCAATCCTAGCTAAAGTCATATTTTAGGTATTTTATCCAACATTTTGTGATTTCAGCAAAGGAAGCTCAAGTGTCTTGTGTGGATAGGTTACCGCCCTGTACAGGAAATTTAGCTTATATTCACAATAATAGAACTCAGGAATATCACCAATTTCAAATGCGTTATTAATTGCTTGGTAGCAGTGTTAGGTCCTTCCTCTCTCCTCATTAGAATCCTTTTAGAAATAATTAACATTAGAGGCCCTGGCTGTAATAATTTACACCATTAATCTTCTTGACATTATTTTGAAATATTAAAAAAAGGAAGGTTATAAGAAAAGTAAAGTATTTAGAATATGCATTTATTTTAAAAGTCTATTTTCTCTCATGTCATTTTCCTCCAGTGATTTCCATTGCAATGAAGGGTCAGAAATATTTTACAGGGGTCACTCTAACCTTTTTGTCCATATAATGTTTAAGCTTTATTATGCTCTGTTGGGTACTATTAACCACCCTCCATCCCTTTGTTTAATACTAATAGTTAATTTGTTTGATAAAAATTATAATCATTAAGTTTACCATACTTTTAATCCAGCTCTGGGTGAGTTATTCCTCACTAATTTCCTTGCCCCCATCACCCCCCTCACATCACGCCGCATCATCCAAGGTCTAGTCAAACAGTTCTTTATGAGTAACATTTAATTGGACTGTTTTCTCCGGGTTCAGAGTGTATATGCGTGCTCTGAGCTGGAGAGGAAAGGTAAGGCTTCAATTTAATATACATACATTTTTTTTTTTACAAAAAACAGTGTTTTTAGGAGAGGGAGGTTTGGAGGCATGGGAGGGAGTGGGAGACAGAGGGAACTTTGAAGCTTCCCCTTGCAGTGCCATCTGATGACAGACACAACTTCTGCACAGAATTCACATAGTTCTGGGCCGCCCAAGTCACATGTGCTGAGGGTGTAACTAGCCCCATCAGAAAAAGGTGATTTTTCTGTATGTGCAGCATTTCAAGCAGAGACACTTCCACCATAACCAATTTTGAAAGCAGAATTGGTAGGTGGTTGGGGTAACCCTTTAAAGGGACACTAGAGTCACCAGGACCACTACAACTTAATGTAGTGGTACTGGTGCCTATAGCATGTCCCTGCAGCTTTAGCACTGCATGAAGTCAATGCATCTAAATGAGAAGATGCTGATTGGCACAGCACAGAATTTTGACACACATGTGCAGTAGCCTCCCTGTGGGAAAGAATTGGATTGGCTGACATCATCAAGACTGGTGATATCAGCCATGGAGGCTGGCCCGGCTGTGGTGAGATTGGCGTGGCGAGAGAGAAAAGATCAGATTGGCATGGCGAGAGAGAAAAGGTCAGTTATCTTAATATCAATAAGATTGGAGGGCCGGTGGTCACCTAAACAGCCACTATTGGACTATAGTGTTTGTATTCCTGGCACTATAGTGTTCCTTTAAATTTCCAAGAATAATTCTGTTTGAACGTATGCATGCATAACTTCCATAGATTTCTTTGGGGACATGTTGAACTTGATCAGTTTTGAGACTATAACTGTACGCTTGCGACTGTGCATACCCAGAAGGGAGCAAATTATAAATAGATACAAGAGTCATTCTTCCTTGCATAGTATAGCCTAGTAAAAAAAATATGTATCTTGAGTTGTCCCTTTTTAAAGCAAAACAGTAAATGTATTGAAATACAAAAAATATAATTCAATCTGTCTCTGCTATGTGTATAATAAATAAAATATAATAATATGTTCAATGTTGCATTGTTAATGGGAAAAAAACATTTCTAGGTCACGTTGCAAAGCAAGATAAATCTGTGTGTATTTCTCGGTGGTGTACTACACCATAAATAAATGAAATAGACATATAAATAATATATATGTAATCTTAGCTGTTACATTGTAACTGCTGGAGTGTAAGGGAATATAATAGCTACTGTTGTGACAATAGAATTTATTCAAATGGGTCATAAAAATTTTTCGGACAGATTGGGCAAGGGAAAAGTAATACGATAACTTGGTTATATGACTATATTATAAAAGGTGCCATCCATGAAATGGGACTAGTTACACTTTAAAAATATATAAATATGTAGATTGCAAACAGTGTTGAGTTGTGACACAAGTATGTAAAAAATTGTGTGTACGATAACAATAAGAGAATATGTTAGGATTGCAAAGATTTTTATTAAGTTCATAAAAATTAATTTAATTCTGTGAATTGACTGGCTTCAAAGTGAATTCAGATTCAGATTTCCAAATTTTTCATTGTTGCCCAAGTGTTCCAATTCAGTTTTCAGTCCACTACAGTTGTGGGTTTAGTGAATAAGCCCTTACGATTTGATCACTAATGTAATTTGCTTTAACATAGGTTTTTAATAATTTAGAAACAGATTTTAAATCGTTGGCAAATATGTTTTTGTTGAGTTATTCTGAGCTTGTTTAGTGAAATATTTCACTTTTATCAAGAACGATGGCAAGTTGTTTGGGTAATGTCATTATTTGTTTATTTTTAAATTGGTAACCTCTCCCGCAGCCCTGTATTCCTGGAGCAGATGAGAGACTAGACTGCATGTCTCAAACTGAACGGTTATTTATAGAGAAGCTCGCAGTTTTATTCAAAATGCAAAGAAAAATAAACTAAGAGCAGAAATGTCAAACATTGTGGTCTTCAACTCTGTTTGGATAATTACTATTTCAGAGACTGCAGCGGACCACCAATAGATGAAAACAGATTTCTTTATTGTTCTGGATTTACAGAATACAGCATCCATTTTGTACACTAAGCAGGGGTTTATGCTATAAAGATTGAATTCTGAAGAATTGAAAATTAAATTTACAATTCATGTAGACAAAAATAGCTGATTTGGAAAAACTCTCCAGCTCCCCCATAATCATAGTTTAGATAAGTTAGACTTCATTTTTGCAATTTGGTTTTGCTTTTTGACTTTATCATCTTTTTATTTTTTTTATACAAAGGAGTATAAAAAAAAAAAAAGTATCAAAATAATAGAAAAAAGCAAGTCATTATATGCACACCTCCCAACATTTCAAATGGACGAAGAGGGACACTTTCATTTTAGGGGTGTGGTTGGGGGTGTGGCCATGGGCAATGCTGTTATGCAAAATTTTAGATTACTTATTAAAAACAATTCCTGCTACTAAAATGTAATGTAGAACATGAACAATGTAATTTATAGGCTGATTTCTAAACACATTTATTGAGGTTTAAAGACACATTACTGTGAGTATGGTGCTGTGGAGCTCTGCTATACACTCAGACACACCAACAATATTTAGCTCTTGGAAAACAGGGACATTAGCATAGAAAAGATAGACAGAGGGATTTGGGCCCAAATAGAGATAAGGACACTTGGAAGATATGCTATATGCTTTGAGTGTTCTATTAGGTAGAGTTTCCAATGCATGAAACTTGTAAAAACCATTCAACTACCATTTTAGGGAATAAGCTTTTAGTAGTGTTTAAGTATTACGTAGCAGATCTTATTTTGGAGATTTATGTCTGATGGTGTTATAAAAGAAATGCCAGATATTGGATACAATATTATCATTCTAATCTCACAATGTATCTTTTTTGTCACGTTTTCCTAACATTCATGCAATATGATGCATGAATGTTGGGAAAACGTGACAAAAAGGATATATTGTGAGATTAGAATGATGATATTCTATTTGAGATTCCTGTGAGTCTTTCTTGATACTTTCATAGAAAACAAAAGAAGAAAGATAAAATATAACAAAGAATGTAGGTATACATTTGTTATATATTAGATCGAGGCCTTTTGGATATGCAGTCATCTCCTTCAGGTCTGCATTAGTTAATAAGAGTTTTAACAGGGCCACCCAATCCATGGTCTCTGCAGTGGAGTCCAGGTTTTGGCCCAGTGAGGGCGAACTTCCGGTGAAGGTTTCTGCAGCGTGGTAGGCCTCCAGTGGTTTGATTTGCAGTACATGCTCCTGCAGGGTTTGCAAGTATTGCCGCAGAGATAGGGTAACTGACAGCTGAGATACCTCCTGGAGATTAGCTGAGCCCGCGATGAGGGTATGCTGCTTTCCCGTGTGCATCAGCTGTGTGCCTGCAGGATTAGTGATGGGAAGCCTGTTGGTTGGACAGAGCTCCGAACTAAGTATCTTCGTCAGCCAACTGATGAAGACCTCAAATACAGTTATTTGTAAATGTTGGATAATGTATTGGAAGTAAAATTAATCTACGGTATTATTCAGCTTAGAATACTTCTTCCTTATGAAGAGAATAAAGATAGTATGAGCATAAATACTACCAAAAAGAGAATGCACACTAGGACCATGAAGAAAGTTATGCAAATATTTAGTGAACCAACAATTGGTTAAATATGCATATAGCAAAGAATACAGAGTGACAATATACAGGCATCAAAAATAAAACAGTAACAATTTACCAAAGTTCTCACAAGCCTAACCTGGCAGGAACACGAGTCCCCAATACCCCCAACGTTTCGGCACCAACTGGCTGCCTTTCACAATGGTGTTTAGGCAGCCAGTTGGTGCCGAAACGTTGGGGGTATTGGGGACTCGTGTTCCTGCCAGGTTAGGCTTGTGAGAACTTTGGTAAATTGTTACCGTTTTATTTTTGATGCCTGTATATTGTCACTCTGTATTCTTTGCTATATGCATATTTAACCAATTGTTGGTTCATTAAATATTTGCACAGCTTTCTTCATGGTCCTAGTGTGCATTCTCTTTTTGGTAGTATTTGTGTTTATTTTGGTACCTGAGGGAGTACCTGTGAGTAATAGCACCTAGTGGGATATTTTTTCTATTGTTATATATTCTCTCCATACGGTGTTATTGCATGAAAATAATCTAAACACTGTCTGACTGATGATCTGACCCAGGAAGGACCAGAGTCTTGACAGTGTTTCAATTATCTTTATTTATTGAAAAGTTAGCACACTTGCTCAACAATGCAGGGCAGTCAGCTGGTAATGCATGACATATGTAGGGGGTTATTTAAAGAACACTGTGTGGGTTATAGCACAAAGCATATCGTGAATATAACACAGCTCAGAGGTTATACAACATCAGCACTTCCCACTAATACTTATACGTTAATCATTTTCTGCAGCTTTTACTAGTTCATTACGTGACAGAAACAGGTGAATAATACAAAAATAGAAGCAAAGCAAATCTTAATCTTAATATTAATATGTACATATGAGAGAGAGAGACAGACAGACAAAGAGTGAAAGAGACAGAGAGAGTTTGACTTGTTCATACATTTTCTTTTTATTTATTTTTTACAAGCTGTGTGGTTGGGCTAATTATTCGTGGGAGCCCCAGAGTATTAAGTCAAATTGAGATACGTCAGGATACTATAGTCATAATGTGAACAATCAGGACTAGTTGTACTAGGTCATAATGGCTGTGAGAGTTAGATACAAAATTAGAACACTGGGGGGATGTTTGCTGGAATATTATTATTATTATTATTTTTTGATAGTTATCTACTAAACACTGAACTGCGTGCAATTGACAACTGAATTGCATAAACGTATACCGAAAGAGTCAAAGTGGCAATATATCTGCTACAATGAAATTGGCACACATCCTGCAGTTTTGTTGTCAGGCTATAAATCTTACAATGATCTCATTGTGAGATTTATTGTTGTGATGGCAAACTGTTTACTTCCATATTTAATGATGTCAGATTCTTCATTAAAATGCATGTTGCGATTCACTTATCCTGAATAATCTAACATGTTGGTTGTGTAGAGCAGAAATACATACAATCCAAACCTAAGGATCAATAAATAACAATTTAATAAATATACCTTAAATTAAATCAGGCATGTAATCATTTTTCATGTTTTTCTTTGTGGTTTTCCTAGGGTTATATGGAATATTAGCTTGCAATTGCTGCAGATCTAGTATCTGGAGCTACTGTAACCCCACCCCTTTTTCTTGCCGAGCACAGATTTTCTTGTGTGCTGAAGAATGACCAATCAGAGGCTTCACATGTTTGCAGCTGTCCAATCAGGCTTCTCAATGAGCTGTATTTCAAAAGCAGGTGCTATGTGCAAGTGCCTGCCTTTGACTTCAGCTCCATGAAGCTAAACTACCATAACATTTTCTGACTGTCTGATTTATACCCTGGTAGGTGTAACAAAATCCATTTATAAAAGTGCTGACATCTATCGAAACAGGTAAATAGTCTAAAATCAGCACTTTTACGAAAAGCGGGCACACTCTACACACCTTAAACAAGCTGAATTGCTTGGTATGTTTTTAGTGTTCTTTAATTGGACCATGATGTGATAGTGTACTGCTTGTATTCGCATACACTTCTCCCAGTTAGAACTGAATGTGAATTTTATACTTAAATGCTAGTTATAATATTTGTCAGTTGGAAATTCTCAATCCTAGACATAAAGCATGTTGGCCTCAATTTTAATAAGCTTTCCAAATGATTCAATACTGTTAGAAAAACGTTCCACAATGCGTCAATATATTCCTTTATCTAAATAGTCCTACAAGAAGGACATAACGACTAACTTTAAACCAGTGAGTGACTCAGGGGTTGAATGTACTAAAATAGTAAGGAAACTTTAATTTATTGTTTTTTTTTATTTATTTATGAATTGTACTATTACAAATGTATGTTTCTTTGATTCCCCTTCACTTTTTTCCTTCTGTATCCCCATGTTATTTGAAAATAATAAAAAGTAATTAAGAAAAAAGAAAGAAAAAAGTTCCAAATAAATTATCTACATAATCGCCATTTAAGTATACTAAACATTTTTTAGATAAATAATTAGGAAAGTATTTCTAACAGTATTGAATCATTTGGAAAGCTTATTAAATCAAGGCCTCTATTAACAGCAATAACACTTTTTTATACATATCTTCTAAAAGCCCAATGGTACTTTATAGACACTGATAACAAAGGCTACTTCCAAATTTCTCGAAGTGTCTAGTGGCCATGCAGTAACGGCTGGCCAATTTGAAGTATATGTTTAGTTTAGATTGCTTATTATAGTTAAGACATTAATTTGTATATACAATTTGTCTCAATCTTAATCTCTTTATCTACTGTTTCTATGCTATTTTTATTAAATAGACTGGGCGAGTAATGTTAGGTTGATGCATACACATTTCTAGATATCATTAAGTCTTTCAATGGTTTGTGCTAAGTACTAGCAAAGGTACTAACATTAAATGTGGATTTTACCAATATGAACCCCCCCAAATAAGCTCTCATCTCACTATAATATTTGGCTATCTGAAGATGCTGAAGTAGCAAAGAACTCCGTTTTCAGAGTAAGGATAGTGGTTGTGAGTTGTTTTTTTTGTGATTGTCCACGAGTCACAAGGATCAAGGTGTTTCAGCTATTGTGGTGGTATCCTCAGGGCTTTTAGATGGAATGTGTGGCTCCTTGGGTGTTCTGCTAAAATTAGGCCCCCTCTTTAATAGCATGTTTGAGTATAGTTATTGTGCCACTTTCTTTTCCCCTAAATATCCCCCTATCTACTGCTCCCTTGGGTATTTTATCTTATATCTTTTAAGAAGAGCCCTGGACAATTGCCTACATTTCTCAAGGCATAACTCCATCATCCTGGTGGATTAGAGGGTGTTTGACCAGCATTTAGATTATATATTTCTAGCAAATGTATCATTCAGTTTTATCTTCAAATTTCACCGCATGCTCAAAATAACAACAAATAAATAAATAATAGGACAAGTACATTTGTCATTCTTCAAGAATCACTGCTGTTCAGCAATATGAATGTTTAAAATCGTACAAAATCAGGTATATTCATTATTCCGCTAGTTTATTTTTTTTGTGTGAAATAATGTCAGCTCATGTTGTGCTACTCCATGTGGAATATTCACCAATCCATTGTTTATTTTAGACATTTGAAGAGTCGGCTGTGTTACATGAAGTTATATCACTTTGAGCTAGGATATTTGGTAAAGACAAAAGTATGCAGGCAAATGCTGGTCAAATATTTCATTTAATTCCAGAATAATTGAAATGCAGTTGGACCTCTCCTGATATTTGTCTATGACAATTTCCATTCTTCCTGTACTGTATACTAGTTAATTGCTGCTTCCTGTACTGTATACTAGTTAATTGCTGCATGGATGCAGGAACTTGTTTAACTCAACACATGTAGTCTTTGAGGTTAGGCAAATTAGATTAGGCATTCCAAATCACCCTATAGGTGTTCAAAAGCCTGTCTGCATGGTCCTCACTTTGGCCTCAATTTAATATATTTTCTAAATGATAAAATACTGTTGGAATCATCTACAAAATTTCCCATAGACTTTAATGGTGACATCTGTAGCTAAATCACTTGGAAACTCTTTCAACAGTATTGAATAATTTGGAAAGCTTATTAAATCAAGGCCTCTCTGAGAATTGTCATACTGAAACAGGAAATGGCCTTAAGAAAACTGTTGCCATAAAATTGGAAGCAAGGAATCCTCTAGAATGTTATTATATGTAGTAGAACTCAGATGTTCCTCCCCTGAGACTAATAAGCGAAGTAGGAACAAATAATCAAGATCATTATTTTTTTTTTGGGGGGGGGGGGGTTACGGGTGCCAAAAAAGGACACTGGGTGGGGAACCATAAAAATAGAAGCCCAAGAGAGAGGCGCTTTAAGCAACAGGTT